CGAGGACAGCTGATCCCTAACTATATTTGCACACTTTGTTTATGTTATGTAGAAACGGTAAATACATAATATTTACAGTATTTCTAGTGCCCTCTGGAAATAAAAAATGACCAAATAAAATCATAATATAGCACCGAGTTTTGAGTATTTTCTCATACTCGGTGGACTTCTCACTTAAGACAATATTGTTGTAGTGTTGTCTGAGGTATTTAAGATTTATACCTTGACCCCTTGGGCGACCCTCGTGTTGTCCTTCAGTTGTGTCCACACAAAGAGGGGCGCCCAATAAATCTTTGCAAAGTTGGTCGTTAACACCAACTTTGCCGTTGACGGCCTTACCGTTGATGTGTAGTCCGAGCAACATGTAAACATCCTGAAGAGTTACAGTACACTCACCGAAAGGTAGGTGAAATGTATGTGTCTCAGGTCTCCAGCGTTCTAACAACGCTAGAATGAACTTGGCATTAAGTGAGTATGATTTGATTTTAATCAAATCACCAAACCCACAGGCTTCAAGGTATCCCTCTATGAAAGGGTCGTGTGGTATGTAGTCATGCACACGACAACAAAACCTTGATGCATCCGGCAAAAGAAACTAAATGTTGTTAGTTTTAAAGAAGAACTAAAGATCGTAAACATAGACAAAAAAATACTTACAAACTCCGCGATGTTCTCAACTGTGCCTCGGTAAGAGTTTCCCATTGTGAGTAGAGACATTGTGGTTTAAGAATTTGCTGGGTGAAGAAGAGTTTGAGAGTTGGGATGAGAAGAGTTTGTTGGGTGAAGAATTGAGAGTTGAAATGAGAAGAGTTTTGTGGGATGAGAAGAGTTTGAGAGTATGAGGATGAGAAGAGTTTGTTGGGATGAGAGGAGTTTGAGAGTTAAAGAACCTCTATTTATAATCCACGAATGCATGTGACCTGTAAATGCATGCAGAGCAAGTGTCAATAATGCATGTGACCTGTAAATGCATGTAGAGCAAGTGTCAATAATGCATGTGACCTGTAAATGCATGCAGAGCAAGTGTCAAGCATGCATGTGACCTGTAAATGCATGCAGAGCAAGTGTCAAGCATGCATGTGAGGCGTGCAGGTTTAGTCTTGTCTTGAAAGTGCATGTTGTGGCGTTGTCATGCATGCAGAGTGTCGTCAGGCATGCATGTGACATGCATTAAGGGAGGCGTGCAGGTTTAGTCTTGTCAAGCATGCTGCAGGCGACTCAAATAAACTCAATTGCGTCTTCTATTAAAACTTACTCGTTATTAGGTTTAATATATTTTTAATTATAATATTTTAATAATAATATTGGGTTAATAAATGTAAAAATAATATTTTTAATGTTACTATTTTATTTAACGTCAAACATAATATTACAAATAACGCAGCAGCAAATATATTCAACATTTAATTTCAAAAATGCATGTTATGGTGTTCAGTCTTGTCATGCATGCAAAGTACAGACGATTACTGTAGCCATGTGACATACGTTTATTAGTAAGAATCTCGTAGGCATGCATAGAATTGGTAGGCATGCAGGGAATCAGTTGTTGTAGACAGAGTGCAGCTGGTAGCTAGAGTGTTGTCTTGTCAAGCATGCTGCAGGACCATCGCAAGCTCAGCTCTCGATTGAATTGCGATTAGATTCTTTTAGTCATTAGCGACAACCCGTCTTTGAAGGTGAGTAACATAATAGCACATATGGTTCAAAGGTACAATTACACTCCTTCATACCGAAAAGCATGGATTGCTAGGACTAAAGCGGTTGAAAGAGTGTTTGGAAATTTGGAGGAGTCTTACAAGGAATTTCCAAAATTCTTGGTGGCTCTTAAACAATACTCTCCAGGGACTGTGGAAATGGAATTTTTCACAGACTCTTTTGGGTCGTTTGAACCATGCATCAAAGGGTTTGCATATTGTAAACCTATAATTCAAGTTGACGACACATGGTTATACGAGAAATATAAGGGCACCATACTCATGGTTGTGGCACAGGACGGGAACAACAACATTTTTCCAATTGCCTTCGCTATAGTTGAAGGGGAGATTGCTGGGGGTTGGAGTTTTTTATTAAAAAATCTCTGCTTTTACGTTTCTCTCCAACCTAATTTATGTTTGATCTCTGATAGACACCCATCAATCGAGAGTGCATACAATAACCTTGATAACGGTTGGCATGATCCTCCCTCGACCCATGTGTATTGTATAAGACATATCGCCTAAAATTTCATGCGGGAAATCAAAGACAAAACATTACGGAAGAAGGTCGTGAACGCAGGATATGCACTAACAGAGCCCACATTCAAACACTACCGCAACGAGATCAGACTAACAAACATGGATGCATTAAGATGGATTGATAATATTGATAAAGAGAAATGGACACGGGCATACGACAATGGGGTGCGATGGGGCCGCATGACAACTAACCTCGTTGAATCAATGAATTCTGTTTTCAAGGGAATCCGAAACCTACCGATAACTGCCTTGGTAAAGGTAACATATTTTAGGCTAAGCGCACTCTTTGATAGCAGACGTAAGAAGTGAGGTTCAGTATTACAATCTGGTCAGCTGTACAGTAATAGTTCAACAGCATTCATGAAAGACGAAGCTGCCAAAGCCAACACACATGTGGTCACAATCTTTGGCCGTAACAAAGGTTGGTTCAGTGTTGCCGAGTCAATTGATCACAACGAATGAAGGCCTAGGGGATGTTACCGAGTTGAACTGGATAGGAGCTGGTGTGATTGTGGGAAGTTTCAGGCATTTCGTATGCCTTGCTCTCATGTTATAGCAGCATGTTCGAAGGCGCGCCAGAACCCAACCAACTTTCTTTTTGCAGTTCACCAAGTGATAAGTCTATGTAATGTCTACACATGTAGCTTTCAGGTGGTGGCAAAAGAGGACTATTGACCTCGATACGAAGGCGAAATTGTCTGGCATAATGATTTGATGCGAAGAAAGAAAAAGGGTCGCCCTAACAGCACGCGCATTTGAACGGAGATGGATACCTCAAACAAGATGGTAAGATTATGTAGTTCGTGTCGGCAACCAGGACACAATCGTACAAAATGTCCTAACATAGGATCAAGCACATATCATAGTGTCTAATGTAACCGTGTCCCTTTAAATCAAAAGCAAATTTCATTCCATTTAAAGCATACTTAACCGGTTACAATTAGCAAGCAACAAAAATTAAACAAACATAGCTTAATACCACAACAACATTCCGAAAATAAAAACAACAAAACGACATAAAACATAACAATGCATTAAGGTGTCTACGATATCACAACCATCAACGTTATCTTCTTTGGTGTTAACATCATTGCAAGGACACCAGCATCATTTTCCACTTTTTTCCATTCACGAGTAACTCTGTTTCTCCCTGCATCCTCGACCAACCTCTCAATTTTCCTAATCTTTTTACCTGCAACAATATCTCCTTCTAGCCATTCCACAGGAGCACCTTCATCGGAGGCTTTGTTGCTGAAAAGAAAACTAGGGCATTTCTTTTCATTAGAGGAAATGTTGGAAACGGTTCCTCTGATGCTGATGACGACGACGAAGAACGTTGATTTAGAAATGCAGGCATTCTAGACTCCACTCCACTCAAAATTATTAAGACTTCAGTCTTTTGGTATAAAATATTGTGGAAAAATATATGCTTTTGCAATCGTATTTATAGAAAAATAAAATAGTATGTACGCCATATGATAGGCCTTAAATACCCTTACAAAATTTATATACTTTTTTTCAACAAATACCAAATTTTTTCAACATAAGATATAAAAATATCAAAATTCAAAAGTGACCTACAATTATATATTTTAAAATTATATATTCAATTATATATGAATTATGTTTTAAAATTATATGTTAATCATATATTTATTATGTTTTAAAATTTAAATCTATTTATATTTATTATGTTTTAAAATTTAAACCTATTTATATTTATTATGTTTTAAAATTATATACAAATATATTTTTTATTTTATAAAACTATATCACAAAAACCATTTTTATTAGTTAAATTAATTTATAATTTAAAAACTATATTTATTATTTAAATTAATTTAAATCAATTTTTATTTTAAATCACAAATATATTTAAAATATATTTTAAAACTATATCACAAATATATATTTTATTTTAAATATATTTAAACCTAAATCAATTTAAATATATCACATAAAACAAAAAATATAAAAATAAAAATAAAAACAAATAAATAGAAAAGAAAAATTGAAAACGAGAAGAAAAAAAAAGAAAAAAAATGGAACAGGTCTGATTCGCCAATTCAATTGGCGAATCTATTAAAGGCCAACACTCATTCGCCAGTTCAAATGGCGACGCTGTTGAATGAGAGCATTCGTCAATTGGATTGGCGATTCAAGATTAAATGTTGGTTGTTTTTGAAAAATATTTTAAAAGTTTATTTTGTTTGGGAATTAATTTGAAATACTTAGTTATATTAAAAAAAAATTCCAAAATTGCTTTTAGACCGTTGCACCATTCTTCTATTTAATTTGACCGTGGAAAATAGAAATCCAACAAACAATCTAAGTGCTCCTTTTGACACGATGCGCAAATTGTAATCAATCAAATCATGGCCACGGTATAATAAAATAGTCCAAAAACAAAAGAGAAGCATCTAAAGAGATTAAGAACATTTTCTTTTAACAAAAGACAACAAATGGGACAGGATTACCAACAAAAAGAAACAAACCAACAAAACAACATTATACTTGTATCTAGCCATTCGAGAAGAATAAAATTATCCAATTCTATAATCTAATTAATTTATACCAAAACCCCACCTCTAATATGCCAAAACAGATCCCTTAAAATACTACTCACATAAAGCATAATAAAATATTTCATACAGAATCTGAGTAGACATAGGTCACTAACAACAATCGGATCCTATTAATTAATCATCATTAAAATATTACCTGGAAGTGTCTGATTCAAAGACAGAATCATACTCCTATTCATATTCATTGCTTGGGTTTTGGTTTTGGTTTTGGATAATCAAAAGCTAAAGAAGAAACCGCATTATCCTCTAGATCCGGGTGCACGAAACCATATTTACGCATAACCTGATTATCAGCGAAATTAAGCGCACTGCGCATCCCGTTCCAACAAGCCTCCGCCGTGTACATTTCATTATACTTCCCACTACACGGCTGACAACCGGTAAAATGCGTAACAAACGGTTTCCTCCAACTACCTTTCCCATAACCAGCCTCTTTCAAAAACTCTTCTCTAACAACACCGTAACCTTCACTCACCTTTTCCGCGTGACGCCGCCTTAACCTACGCACCCCTTTCTCAATCTCGTTATATTTCCTACTAATATTCTCGAATGTTCCTACGATTTCTTCCCAGTAGCCTTCGAAATAATACTCACCTTCTAAGTAAATCCTGTCCGCCCATTTCTCTTTCTCGATCGCGATCAAGTAAGCGAGCCCCGTCTGATCGTCTGACTCCGGGAAGAATTTGTCTTTGAAAATTGACCGGAGAGTTTTACCCCATTTTTCATATTCTGGGCTTTGTGGGCCCATTCCGGCCCATGCATCCATTAAATCCAACGACCACTGACAGTTTCTGATTAAGAACACGCCGGCGTTTAAACCCGTCCAGCTCCGTTTCTCGTGGATTAAATGTGGCCAACCGTGGACGACGAGGTTGTGATTCTTGTATCGTTGTAAAGGAAGCTTGAACTCCATGTCGGTGAATAACGCGTCTGAGTCAACCCACCAGATCCACTCGGCTTCTGGGTGGGCCATCATTGCGGCTTTAACGACAGGGTATTTAGCCCAGTAAGCAAACATTTTAGGATGTAAAAGAGCGTTGTTGTAGAAAATGTCGTAGCCGTGAATACGACAATAATCCACTTTGTTTTTGAAGAATCTTAATAACAAATGGTCGCCGATTGGGTTTTTACACGGCGAGGGTTGTGATCCGGTGATCATTAAAACTTTCTCTTTATCTGAGAAAGAAGGGTGAAGTTTTAGCCATTCCTCGCGTTTCTCGTCCCAGTTTTGGACATTGTCGTCCATGTTGTACCCCATTTCGGGATCGTCGTAGAATGTTTGGTCCGGTGGGTCGAAGAGTAAGTCGGGAGTGGAATATGAAACAGCGTTGTTTTGTTGAGATTTTAAAGTAGGGTTTTCGTTTGGGATGGGGATTGTTAAAGTGGAGAAACCCCAAACGAGTAAGAGAGCTGAGAGTGCGCCTCCGAGGAAGAGGAAGCCGTCGGAGAACCATGGAGAGGAAGATTTGTTTTTGAGAGTGGGTTTGGTCATGATGGAAGAATAGTGAGAGTGAGAGAGTTCTGTTGTGACCATATTTAGGTTTCGTGGAAACCGTGGTGGTTGGGTGAGGTTGGTTCGTGGAGGTGTGAGTAGCAAAGAAAATGTTGTAGTACTTAAAATGGTGAGAGAGATTGATTGTAATAACTTGAGGAAAACAGAAGGGTGAGTGAGCGAGGGAAGTGTGAAGTTTGGTAGATTGTTTTGTCTTTTTATTTAAAGAGGCGATGCGTATCGTCTAAAGCATGCGTCAATTTGTAAATTGAAACTATTGGAATGGAAATTACTAGTAATAAAGGGTCAAGGAAGCTTTTATTTTATTTTATTTAGAAAATCAAGGAAGTGTTTATCGTTAATTAATTAAAAAAAGTAGTTTAAATATAGTCAAAAAAATTGATTTTATACTATTACTTATTAATATCTGGCTCTGTTTGATTGGATTGTTGAGATTTGAGAGTGATGGAAGAAGAGGATAGGAGTATATATGACCGAGGGAAGAGGCAACTTTGAAATTACAGTTATCTTGCCAATTTGATTTGGATTAGCGTGCTTTCTTGATCACGTCGTGATTCAAGCTGCGGCTAATTTCCAAAGATTGTCGGTATTATTCAAATCCCAACTTCACTTTTCTCCAAATATGTTTTTCTTCATTAAGTGTTTGAGTTTGCTTTTTCTATTATATGTTTTTTATCTGGCAAGGATTGAGTATTTTTATTACTTTTTCTCATTAATAAGTTTTGTTTAAAAAAAAACTTTATCAATGTGTTAAGATATCAAAACATGCAAATTTTGTGATGGAAAGAAAGTGTTCAATTTATTCAAAGTATTGATCTATGTCTTACGATAGTTTGACTTAGTCATAAAAATTACACTTAATAATTTCCAAGTAGTAATTCCTTTATTTATATTATTTTCTAAATAACATGTTATATTTTCAATACAATTTGCAAAAGTCTACCACATAAATCTTAAAACAAATTATAGGTTTAGACTTAACCGCAAACAATTTAATAAAGAGATCTTTAAATTTTGAAAATTTTAATTATGAGATTTCTCAGATTTTTTTTACTAAAATTTGTTTTCACCCCGACATCAAAGTGTATAACCGTTCAAATTAAAAGATTGATTATCTAGCATGCAAGCTTGCTGAAATTGGAATGCCATTGTCATTTGGGATGTTTAGTGATGATGATGCAAACCCTGAATAGTCCTTGATTGTTTGCTCTATTTGCTCTATTTGTTTTCCTTCTTGTCGTACCTCAAGAAATGAGAATGACTTTGTGAAGTGCAATCGCACGCTCGCGGGATTGGCTTAACAGAGTCGTCATCGATCTTTATTTATTCTCATAAAGGGACAGAGAAAATATCGAATAAAACCCCCAAAAGAAAGGACAAGGAAATGGTCATTGCAACCAATATCAGGGTTTGAGAGTCGGTTACGCAAAGGGAAAGTATTAGCACCTCTCTCGTCTGTTGTACTCAACAGAAACCATTAAGTTAATTAAAATAAAAGATTTTATGAAGTATCTTTATGTCTCATAGCAAATATAAATGATAACCATTAAAAAGTTTGTGACAAGCCCATGAGAGAAAAAAGAAATGGCATGGAAATTAAAGTTTTAGATCAAACACAAAGGACCTAAAAAACAAAACCAAACTTAAAATGCTTCTCAAAATGACAAAAAAAATGATCAAAAGCCTAGGACCTAAACATGCAAATCAACAAAATGAATGGAGCAAACTAAAGCAAAAACATAACGAGATATCTCCACCCATATGCTAATGTGGATATTTCTTAAAAAGACTCTCAATCATAGAAAACGAACTTAGTCATAATCTGACTTTAGACATGATGTTAAAACCTCTATGACCAGTGAAATGGTCATAAGGCGTCAAATCAAATAATGAGGTGCAAATGAATGAAATGTAAATGAATGACTGCAAATAAATGAATGAAGATGAATGAATACGGATGAATTATGGACTGAATAAATTAGTTGGGGCAAAATTTGTGGCATGGCACTTCTTTTTTTGCTTTCAGTATATTTCCTTTTTGTAGTCATATGTGCTTGTAGGTACAAATGTCTATAACTATTATATGATCGTGATGGTTTTGATGATGACAACAACTTATGTCAAACAACATTAGGTGAAGTCTTTATATGTTAAAAAAATTCAATGATCAAGATGTTCTTTATAAGATCAAGATATTCTTTGTAAGATCAAATATCAAGCCATGACAACCCTAAGGTCAAACGATGTTTTGTAAAGTCTCTGATGATCTCTAGTCCATCAACCTATGATGATGGTGCATGATCAAAGAAAGTATTCCAAGTCTCCTTAGTTAGAAGACTCAAGTTCCAAATGAATCAATGTTGAATCTAGCAAGGAAACTTAAAGCTTCAAGGTTGTGAAAGAAAGAAAGTGTGAAAGTTCATCTGGTCTTGTGCTTGGCGCGTGTCTAAGTGGTCGGTCATATGTAAAGGTATAAAAGTAATTCTCTAGATACTAAGGCAGCTCACACACACACTTAAAAAAAATTTAGGCCTCTCTAACTTGATAAAACATTTGAAAAATGTTTCTATACTCTTACTTAAGTGATTGCTAGTTTACTTAATTAATTAGGGGTCCTTTTTATACTAGTTAATCAATTAACGCATTTTCCATGCCTCCTAAATAAACTAAGGATGCCTTTACTCAATTAGTGATGACATAGTTCAAAAACCTTTCTTATTTAGCTTATCTCATCGATAACAATCTGGTTTAATTAATTAGATCATTAAAAACTTTCTATGGATCATTTTATTTTTTTAGCCAACTACTTTCCTATAAATATAGGGTTTCTCCTCCTTTCATTTTACAACAAAATTCAAATTTAAAATTATTATTTCTCACTATGTAATCGTATTCGTTGTAGAATCAGAAATGGATGACGAATTAGTGGTTATGGAGGATTATAGTGGATCTGAGCTTCTGACGTAATGGAGAGGGAGCTAACCTGTATGGTTAGCACTCCAACGTTCAAGTCAATATGTGAGAGAGAAGAGTGAATGGAAATTGAATTTGAAATTGTGTATCTGAATTCCTCGCGCCTATCTTTTATATAGTGAGGCGATTATAACAACTCACTATTTGCAAGGCATGTGATGCAAAGAAACGTTTGATGTATCAGGGACTTATATCGCATGTATTCTTCCGTAGGGTAGTTTTCATGCATTAGGAATGTTCTAAATGAATTGCAAGACCTCCTAAGTGGACAGTCAATGATGATTATGATCGGACCAAAACAATTGTCCCTCTAGCCCTTGTTTCTATATGGTGATGCAATGGTTTTTTGTATTTTCCTCGTCCGTCAACCATTATTTTGAACTACTCTAGAAGGTCAAGAGAAGACGTTGTCATTTATGAGGATTTTGCGCCTCAAATGCACCATGCTGCAAATGTATTTTTGGAGGTACCTTCATAATGATCCTTGGGAATTAGAACACTTAAGTGTTGCATGTGAGTGACTTGAAGCAATATTAAGGTATATTATGCAATCAAAAATTTTTTGAAGAGTCATTTTCTCATTATTTTGGGGTGTCTATATTGTTTCATTGTCCTTTCCTTCCCTTAATATTTCCATTTCAAGTGCTTGGATAAAATCAAATTCGTCATGAGTCAAAGTCAAAAGATGTGTTCGCGATTCTTTGGCATATCTTGTCTATTTTTCAATTATTTCTATTTATGCTCGTGGGGGTAGTCTTGACGGAGCCTTTTTGGATGTTGGTCTATCTTTAGATTGAGGTGTCTTGATCCTTGGTGAAAATGAAATAATCTACAAAGAGTATGGCGATTGTGTCATCTCTTTCTCAAAGTGTGCTTTCTTAATTTTGGGTCTTCGACTGCCCTTCAATCTTCAAAATGGAAGTTCATAAACACCTAATGGTTGTTCTGTCGCAACTTCATTCTACGGGTTAGGCATAAAAGCCTTCAAATATTGGTGCAAATATCTGAATGAGAGACCTTCTCTGACCCTTTTATTTCATCTCTTCAAAATCCCAAGTGGCCATGTGATTCAGGTACGGGGTTGTATTTTAGTTTCCATGGTGCCGATCATCTGTGGAATCGAGGCTTTTTCTGATAACTTGAAGCGTTTTGAAGACAAGTTCTTCCAAGTTACCCATATTCACCCGGAGGATCATGCGATTTTAAGCATAGTCGGAGATAAAGCATATATAAATGTACCAGATTGTTCCTTAAGTACTTGAACAACAATCATTTTTATGGGAAATGGGTTATATGTCTATAAAAGGGACGAATTTTCTCAGGTAGAGTTGTATCTAAAGAAATGGCTGACGAGTTTCATATGGGATCTGAGTTATCCCGGGGGCGTTATTCCTTAGGATGAAGCTTCCCTAAAAAGTTTGAAATTCCTCATCGACACCCACCTACTAATGAATGGTCGTACCAAGGAAGAATGGAAGATTATTTTAAGTATGTCTCAGATGCGCTTGATTATTTTGATAGCAACTCACTTGTTTGTAATGTGTTTAGTTTGTTAATAATCGTATGTAAATTCGATGAAGGATGAGAAGGCGTTGTGACTTTTAAGATGAAGTTTTTGGTCGACACAAACAGCGGGGGAACCATCAGCTACTTTAAGGCAAGTGGTGATTCTCTACCCTTGGAGTCCTATCAGATTATTGTTGTGTTGAATATTTCCTGATGGCCATTGCATACATCGTGTCCTTTGGCTTGTACACAATTGACTTGGTCAGGTAAGCGTCATTCTAAAGAGAATTGGGTTTCTCCCTCGGAGGAAGATTGCTCCTAATTTTCTAACCTTACCGGTCGTGCTCTTGAGGAAGAATTAGAAACTCTGGCATGTTATACTCGTTGTGCATCTGCTTCTTTGGCCATTGGTGAAATAGGTTGCTGAGACAGTCTTTAGTTTCACCAACAATGAACGAGAAACACATGTTGGAGGAAAATGTTTGTAGCTTGACACCCCGATAGGATACATACCTACAAGAAATACATAAAGGACTTTTTCA